ACTTTCAACAAAACAAGAAGAATTTCTCAGGAACCCTGGCAACTGAATTTTGATTTAATGATTTGGACATTTAAGTTTGTAATCTTACCAAAATGGAGCACTGAGGTATATGGAATTTGAGCCCCAACTTTCCACACCTACAGTACGAGTGTAGGTTTACAACCTCACTGTGGTTTCAAGGTAGGGAGAGTGTTCTTCCCTACCCCTTAACTTTGAATCTCACCATTTGACTTCCTTTGGCCAGTAAGATGTTGGTGAACATGGTTCAGACAGAGACATTCAGATATGTTTGTGCCTTTGGGCTTGTATCCACTCAGTGTGGTGGCCTGCCACGAGCAGAACATGTTCCATGTTCTTCCCTGCCCTCAGTTCGTGTCTGAGAGGGAGGCACATGGAGCCAACCACGTGTCCTGGGCGGTTCCTAAATTAAGAGGCATGAGAGGCATGTGGTGCCACACTAAACCCTTACGAGCCTGGAGTCCAGCCAAGCTCAGCTAGATTGCAGTCAACCCACAGACCTGAAACTATACAAATACATGTTGGCTTTTTCTGCCAATGAGTGTTGAGCGTTTTTATGCATAATTATTGTGGAACTTGCTGACTAATACTGAAAATGGGGTACTGCCATAACAAGAACCAAAATTTCTGGAATTGGTTTTGACAATAAGAGGCAGAAATCAAGCCAACTGCCATGGAAGGTTAAACAATGGTAACCCACACACCATGTAGTGGAAAAGCTTTTGGTAAAACTGCTTGCCTTTGGGGCTCTGGAAAAAGAAAACGTACCTTAAAAACTTTTAGTTTTGGGTGAGGAAATAGGAAGGAAGAATGTTGAAAGCAGAAACTGGTTGCTACTAGATGCGATTTGTAAGGTACTGCAGGTAAGAAGAGAGAAACTCAGAAAAGAACCAGTCAGTTTGCAAACAGAACCGAGAAGGACATTAGGGAGTTCAGAAATTGCAAGGCAGAGTTACACAATGAAATTGTTTCTTACAAAATAAAAGATGTGGCCATTATAACAGAGCCTCAGGGTGCAGACCAAACCCAAGGTGCTGCTAATATGACACAGCCTTGGAGTGAACAGTGCGTCAAGGGTAACATCCTTTGTTAAGACATCTGAAAGGCTTAAGATGGCATCTAGTAGGCAAGTGGGCAAAGAGACTCTTAGAAAGGTTATAAGACTTGTTCCCATAGAAGTCTGATGTCTCAAAAGTACCCATAATTAAGGTTAGAGACAGCGTAGCTTGAAAGGCATTGTGGCTGTCCCCTTTCCCAAATGGAGTTGACTAAAATCACTTTCACAGAAAATCCACATTTGTGAGAGAACTCTATTGGCAAAACTCCTGCTAGCCTGATGAAAAGACATGAAGACTGTTAGAGACGTAAAAAGACCTCTTGGGCAGGTGCAGTGGCTCACACCTCTAATCCCAGTGCTTTGGGAAGCTGAGGCAGGAGAACTGCTTGAGGCCAGGAGTTGGAGACCAGCCTGAGCAACACAGTGAGACCCTATCTCTACAATTTTTTTTAATTAGCCAAGCATGGTGGCACACACATGTAGTCCCAGACACTTGGGAGGCTGAGATGGGAGTATCATTTGAGCCTAGGAGCTCCAGGTAAAAGTGAGCTATGATTGTGTCACTGCACTGTAGCTTGGGCAACAGGACGAGACCATGTCTAAAAAATAAAGAACTTTGCCCTCCAGTTTTCTTTCTTTCTAAAATTTATTTATTTATTTTACAGAAGCATCAGGTTAGTGAAAATTTTGTCATTTGTTTATTTTTACAAAATGCCCTCCAACTTTCCATGGTCAGAAACCCTATATGGAAATCTGCTTATTGCCAAGAAGGGCATATGTATATATATACACACACACATAAGTATATATACACATATAGATACTTATATATATACACACTTATATATATTTTGTATAATTTGTTTTATATTTTTAAATATTTTTATTTATATTTTATATTTATTTTATACATATATTTATATACATATATATTGTATTTATACAATATAATACATTATACATATATTATACAATATAATATATGTATTTATAAATATAAATGGCTTTATATGTAAAACATATCTATAATATATACTTATTTATATATTTATATATAAATAAATATGTATAAATATGAATGTTTTATATGTTATATAAATATAAACTATATACTTATATATTATACATAGTATATCTTAAATATATATTACACATATATATTTGTATATAAAATCTGGACCTGATGAGGATCAGGTTTGGTGTCAAATGCTGTGATTGGATGAGACTTCTGTGGGTCTAATGATGGAAGTGAGTGCATTTTGAACGTGGGGGTTTACGTTAATCATTGGGACTTATAGGGCAGACTGTGATAAACTAATTGCAGGTCCCAGTTCTTCACTCCATGGTGGCAATGTCTTATATCCACACACTTGCCATCACCGTGGCCTCTGACAGGGTGGATACACTTCCCTGCATCTTGACTTTAGTCTTTGTCATGTGGCTTGCCTTGGCCAGTGAGATGGTCATTGAAAGAATGTGAGCAGGCATTTGTTCCTCTGGTTAGACTTTTACTCATGTGCTCCAGTGAAAAACATTCCCAAAGTGAACACTTTAGCTGCTCCCTTAGACTGGGCCCAGGACTGAAACCCATGGAGCAGATTATATGCACCAGGGATCTGCTGGTTTTAGAGGTATGAGACATGGATGGAGAGAACCTGAGTGCACTAGAAGCTTGGTGCTCAGAACTGAGAGCTCCAAGGCAGGAGTCCAGCCTATCTCAACCTGCTGACCTTTGATTACGGGAAGAAATGAGAATTTTTTAAGTCACTGAGTTTTGGGGGTTTTGTTATCCAACATTGCTGCAATAATAGCTTAATAATACAAGTGACATTGGGGTACTATATCAAAGCTGTTTTTTAGACTAATGCTTTAATTTCAGCGTGACTAGCATTATTACAGAAGCACCACACTTCCAAACTATGGTAGCCGGAGTGCCCAATCTTTTGGCTTCCCTGATTCACATGGAAAGAGAAGAATTGTCTTGGGCCACACATAAAATACACTTACACTAACGATAGCTGATGCACACACACACACACACACACACACAAGGCAAAACAATCTCATAATGTTTTAAGAACGTCTTTGTGTTGGGCCACATGTGGCCTGTGGGCCATGGGTTGAACAAGCTTGGTCTAGAAGCTTTCATAAGTATCCGGAATTTCTATGTTTGGGAATTACTATCAAAAGAAGACATGCAGCTGTATCACTAAAATCGGTTTCGGATCAGAAACATGAACACAAATTATCCCAACCTGATGTAATTAAGATGACCTTTGCATGTGCTCTTCCTCCATGGCGTTTCTCTCCCGGCACATGCAGCCAGATGGTATTTGGTGCAGACAATGGAAGTGCCAACCCAGATATTAACAAAAGACAAAAAGTGTTAGCACTTAACACTAAGTTGTAGGTTCCACCAGCTTTGGTGACTGGCTACCTCTTTGAAGGCATGGTTGAGAAGCCCTAATTGCAACTGTGCTGGTAGGACTTTTCCTTAATCATAGTTTTGATTTCTGCAGGCTTTTTTCTTATTTCTCTCATTTTTCCTTTTTTCTAAGCAACCTGTTCTTATTTTATGGGTGCAATATCTTTCTTGTTTCTCTTGGTATTCATTATCATTTGTTTTGTTGTTTTCGTTTTCTTCTTTTGTCTGTGCTGTCTCTGCTTTCTCCAAGTTACTTTTTAAGGCTGCTGTGTTGGTTTTTCTCCTTTTTGTTTCAGGTTTTCTTCAAATGCTGTGGTCCTTAACTGTCCACTCCTGTATAAGAGTGAGGCACTAAAAGGCTGACTGGAAGCTCTATGCGTTTGATAGGACTGATTGACTAACGGACTTTCTTCCTGGGGATCACCTGGGATGTTGGGTCAGTGAGCTGAACTTTTCACTGGGGGACCATTAAATGACAGCAGGTGGAGACTTTTTCTCCACAGCAGGCCATTCAGTTTCTCCAGAGAGGAGTTTTCAACATCTTGCCTGAGAGAGTATGTTCTGGCCCGTGTGTCATCATGGAGCGGAGTTAGCGGAAGCAAGTTGACATTTTCTGGGTTCAATATAAAGAAACTCACTGTCCCACCTGCAGTCTCACAGTCTCACCCCACATCCCTCTCCACCCAGTGTCACAGAGTTCTAGATTTCTCCAGTTAAGTTTTTCTAGAAAATGAGTCTGTTCCCTTGCAGGGAAGAAGAAGGAAAGTTTCAAATAGCAGAGGTTTGGGGAGGGCCAACAGCCCTGGGTATAACCCAAGTTCCCTGTTTCCATCCTCTTGTGCCCCACATGCTACCTCTAGCTAATGAGCCTGTGGGGTCTTCTGGGGAACCCACAGCCTCACTCCCATGGGACCTCCCTAATGAAAGGACTGGCATGTAGCTCACTCTGTCTCCAATCATCCAACCTTTTTCCAAATTCCAAAAGTAAGTTTGACTCTTTCATATGCTTTTGTCTCCTCTCTTATTATTTTTGCTCTTTTGGGATAGTAATTTTGAAAATTCTTTTTCATTTCCTTCTAGCAGGGCTTTGGCAAAGAAAGGACCTAAACATCCGTGGTCCATTTGCCATATTGAACCAGAAGTCAATTTACAACTCTGCACATACTCTCTGAAATTCCTAGTACAACAATGTATGTAAAATAACCACTCAGAATAAACTTGTCAACAAACATAGGTATGAAAACATGAATATAGCCCTATAGGTTTGTGTGGCTGTGTGTATGCATGTATGTGTGGAACTATATCTCCTCTTAAGTAGTGCCTAGGCTCATCAGGCCATATACATTTATGGAAAAATTGCAATAGCTGCAAACTTCCATATGTTCAGTAATGGAAGAGCATTTTCAAACTGACTCCTGGTTATTTGTTTCCATCATTTTAGTTAAGTATGATATGTTAAATGTTCCATCATTTTAAATGTTAAATATTCCCTCATTTTAGTTAAGTGTGCCCTGTCTGCTGTTCACCACAGTCCCTGTGTTCCAATTAAGAGAAGCCAGGGAAGTAATCTCTTGATGTTTGCCAAATTGTCAGCCACTGGGGTGCTGTCAGCCACTGGGGTGCTGGACCACTTCTGGGTTCTATGCAGGTATGTAGAGAAATGCCCTCTTTCCATCTCCATGTCCTATTTTATGGTTTTGTTGTTATTGTTGTTGTTTTGTTTGTTTGTTTGTCTTTTGAGACGGAGTCTCCTCTGTCGCTGAGGCTGAAGTGCAGTGGCACAATCTCAGCTCACTGCAACCTCTGACTCCCAGGTTCAAGTGATTCTCCTGTGTCAGTCTCCTGAGTAGCGGGGATTACAGGCGCACGCCACCATGCCCAGCTAGTTTTTGTATTTTTGATAGAGACAGCATTTCACCATGTTGGTCAAGCTGGCCTCAAACTCCTGACCTCATGATCCGCCTGCCTTGGCCTCCCAAAGTGCTGGAATTACAGGCATGAGCCACCGTGACCCGCCCCTATTTTATGTTATATAGACTTCAAGTCATCACTGCTTATGCCTAGAGTCTTAAGTCATGTATATGAGAACAGTTCCATCTGTCTCAGCCCTTATGTAGAGTTTCCAAAAAATCTCTTAGGAAAACAGGTTGCTTACCTCTGTGGCTCATCTTCTTAATTATAGTTGCTGAAATGCAGTCCAAAGGGAGAGAGCAGATGCCATGGTTCTTGTCTCCTCTGCTGTCTTCATTCCTCTTCTCCTCCGGAGACTTACCCATCACTAAACTCTTTCACTTCTCCAGATTTAAACAAATCCCATTGCATGTTAGTGGATGCTACCACAGAAACCGGCAATTAGAGGGGAGGTTATTTATAGTAGGATAGCTCAGCCTACCATCAACCCTCCATATTGCCTGAAAACATACATGTGTATGTGTGTGTGTATTTGTGTGCACATACATGGGTGTTTCTTTCCAAATTGTCCTATGCTTGGGGCTGGTGGTTAAAGAGATAAAGACTTTCTTTGGTTGATTCTTTGGTTGATAGTTTTCAACAGTCTCTTTAGAGTGTTGGACAGTAGAGTATATTTTCTAGATAACCCTTTTATTATTTAATTAAAAATTTCCTGCAAGGGTAAAGAAGATGATACGTAACTTAATGTGCATTCTGTTTGCTGAGATTAGAGATTGACATGACTTTGAGTTGTCCTACAATGTCATGATTGAGCTATGGGCACATGGTCCAGTTTTTCTTTAGTGATGACACAGTAGGGCCTGTAAGAAAACTAGGTATGCTAATTCTTGTGAAACCTTGGATCAACTTGAAAGAGAAAGAAGAAACCATAGGGCAAATAGGTATGATTTTCAGTGCACTGAAAACTCTAGCAAGCAAATATTGATTTCAGTGCCTAATCCACAAATGAGTATATTGATCCTGTCCTTTTTTGTTGAAGTTGCCAAGTTTCATTTTCTACTCAATTGACGACTATAATTTAGGAGTAGGTGGTGTGATTAAGTGAGCTGGTGCAAGTCTAATGACTTACTTTCAAGACCCCATCGTGTGCTCTGACTTTTGAAAAATCTCAATATCGTTTAGGCCCAGAAGGATAAGGAAACTTCATTGATTCTTTTAACAGTGGTATATTAAAACATTACCAGCAATCAAAAGGGACCTCATTAGAAAAAAATTTAAATGATGACATCCTTAGGAGGCATTTTTGTTCTCCAAATTGCTGAGTTTTTTCTCTTGCTTCTCACAGCAATAACTCTGATATTCCAAAGAGGAAAACGAAAAAAGTAGCTCAAACTATCTCATGTTGGCCTTTCATGATATATTACAACAGTTGTGGGGATAAAGTTGAAACTGCCTCTGCAAAATCATGGCAGTAAGAGAAAGATGACATAGTTGATTCCATCTTGCTTCTGATTTTCAAGTTGTCCTTGATCCAACCTAACTTTGGGAGGAACTTAGTTTATAGTTTAACTCAAAAGCAAGGATGATAATAGGTCCTCCCTAAAACTAATGTCCTCCTTGTTCAGGGACTGAAAACACCTTTGTAAAACTAATGAGAGGTCACAAGATTATGGGAAGAGGAGGGATACACTTGAATGCAGGTTCCTGGTATCTTTGGAAATTGTGTCGTTAGAATAGAGGAAAAACTTCCACAGAGAGATGATGCATCCATAAGGATTACTGTCCCAATATCTAGCAGAACAGGAATTAATTGCATGACCTGAACTAATAGAATACTGAAATAATCTTTTTATAACTTTTTGCTTAAAACATTGCTGATTCTTGGCTCATGTCTGTAATCTTAGCACTTTGGGAGGGAGAGGCAGGTGGATTGCCTGAGCTCAGGAGTTTGAGACTAGCCTGGCCAACATGACGAAACCCCCTCTCTACTAAAAATACAAAAAATTAGCCGGGCATGGTGGCATGCACCTGTAGTCCCAGCTACTTGGGAGGCTGAGGCATGAGAATCACTTGAACCTGGGAGGCAGAGGTTGCAGTGAGCCAGCCAAGATCATATCGCTTCTCTCCAGCCTGGGCGACAGAGTGAGACCCCGTCTTAAAAAAAAAAATCAAACAAAAAACAAAAAAACCAAATGTTGCTGATTCTTTTGTTTTGTTTTGTTTTTTTCAGCGTCAAGCAAGCTTCTTTTGAGTAATTTACAGTTTTTGACAATTGAGTAAATACTCCCGTGAGCAAAATTTGAAGCATATTTTTTTCTCTCTACCTGATTTTGAGGCAGGATAGGTAGTCAAAGAAGTGACCATGTCCTCAGGACACAGCAACCATGGTGACCATACAATTAACACAATAAGCCTCATCATTCGGGTTGCAATCGAGCTCATTCAAGCAAAGCGATCTTCAGAAGGGTTCTGAAGGGTGTACTGTGTATTCTGCACCTAACTTTCAGAATATTCCTTTTCTTTGGCAATAAATTTCTTTTGTTGTGTGTCTCTTGCTTAAATTCTTTTAAACCAAGAAGACAAGAACTGAGGTATCACATCAGCCATTAAAAACTTCTCCAGAATTTGGAAACTATATGTAAATATTCTTAACTTATGGCAATATAGTGACTTACAGAAGTTCAATAAGAATCAGTTTTCTTCTGTAGCAGGACACAATTGGAGAGACTGGTTATTTTACCAAGGCTCTGACTGGAATGATATGTCTTCAGATTGCTTTGAGGAATTGAGGTTGACCTATAGAGCCAGCAAAAGCCCTTTGAAAAAATTGGCCTCATACCTTATCCTGTACAGAGTTCCTGACCTGTGACAACTGTAGCATGTCACTTTTTGACAGACTCAGAAACCCCACGCTATTTTGAGACCTCAAGAAGAGAGAAACTCACCCAATTCATATAGGTATTTGGAGGCACAAATAAATCCTTGTCTGGGATCAACAGGCTTTTAAAAGGCCTAATTTGAGATTCTTTATTAAAACAATTAAAAAAAAAAGCCATTTCTCTAAAAAAAGAAAAGATCCTACACAGCAAATAATTATTTTTATTGTACTTTATGCAAGTAATCAGGCCACATACAATGGGATTGGAACTTATTTTGCAAATTGATTTGTCCTACTGTGATTTGTCCTTGATAAAAATGGGTGACTGGAGAGAGAAAAATTCTGTTTCAAGAAAAACTATAGTATACCCGTTATTAAATTCCAGCTTTGTCCTGTTTTTGAGTCTCTGCTGATGACCCCATGCCTGGCTGGTTCTTGGGGTCATTCACCTGGATCCCTTAAGGCTTCATGCCAGTTCTATAGGAATTCCTGAAGCTAGGGTTTTCAGTCTTTATGTTAGGGCTCATTATTTGTCTTATAGCCTACTGTTCATGTGAGTGCTGTCCTAAGAGCACCAATGATTTTGTCATGCAGAACTTGGGACTCCAACCAGCCACCCGTGAATACATACAGACAACTGCAAGACGGTTTCACTCCTCTTACCCTGGGGGTGACCCATACCCCAACTATGCCTTCTGTCAACAGGAAGAAGTTAGAGACATTTTTGGCCTTTTCTCATCTCCATAGCTCACATCTCTGGATTGAGGTGTGCTGAAGCACAAGATGGGATTTGAAAACACCTTTGCAAAATTATGACAGTAAGAGAAATATGACATCGTTGACTCCATCTTGCTTCTGACCTCCAAGCTGTCCTTGGTTATTCCTGGGTGTAGACCAAGCTACTAAATTTGGGAGGAATTTAGTTTATAGTTTAATTTGAAGGTAAAGATGATAATAGTCTCTCCCTAAAATGAACCCCCTCCTTGCTTGGGGACTGAAACTAGCTTTGTAAGATTAATGAAAGGCCACAAGAATAGGATCATGGGAAAAGCCTGAACTCTGCTAAGATGTAGGCATAGTTTCTATAATCCTTTACTGCTCAGGAATCGTGTGGCCAGAGGTCACAAGATTTATAACTTCCTCAATTACTCCTACAGATAACACCACTATTTTAGAACCTAGGATTGGTTTTTTGAGGTATCTTTCAGACTGACCCCACCCAGACTCATGACTCACCACTCCACTGCACCTGTGACCTCCATTCAGAAGTGGACTTAGCAGAGAAGTATTGTTTTCCACACCCCCATGATTTTATCTCCAACTAATTAGCAATGCTTATTCCCTAGCCCCCTGCCCACCAAATTTTCCATAAAGACTCTAGTCTCTGAGTCTTTAGGGAGACTGATTTGTGTGGTAACTCCAGTTCTGTGTGGGCTGGCCTTGTGTCAGTTAAACTCTTTCTCCGCTGCAATGCTGTGGTCTCAGTGGATTGATTTTGCCTGTGCAGCAGGCAAGAAGAACCCATTGGGTGATTACAGAGTGTTATTAGAAACAACTATTTAGCCAGAAACTAGTCCATGCGAGGTATTCAATAAACATACTTTCAATATTTAGGGTGAGAAAAACATATGAATTAAAAAAGCAATTGTTTGTATATTTCTTTATTTTAAGATTACGAAAGCATCCCTTACAAATCAGTGGTGACTGCATTTCAGAAATCAGAGGAATGCAGAAACTTGTGGCCTCATTTGAGAGTAGAGGGTGTCATTGCAGAGAGAATAAAATAATGAGGTTCACATGCAAATGCAAGAATTCAGAAGACCTTTGTTCTGAGGAGGACTCCCAACTAGGCAGTTACTAGGTTTCTTCTGTGAACTCTGTGTTGAAGTTTCCTGGTTTCATAGAGATTTTAAACTCTGGAGGTATAGGAACAGGTATGGAGGATATTTAGAAAAGGAATAATGTTTTTAAAGAATAACTCAACAGTTACTAGTTAGTTTGGTACTTATGGCCCTGAGCTGCTGGCTGGAGGACATGGCGTCTGCTTTTAGCTACACTTGCAGTAATAATAATGAGCCGACATGGGGCACCCTCTCTGGACTCACATACATTTGTTTGAAAGTAGCAGTGGAGAGGAATGGTTGTCTTCTCCTTTGCTCTTCCTCCCGTCTGTACCACTGTAGCCCTGGGGTGTGCTCAGCAAGGTGCCTGAAGCTAAGGGAGATCAGATAGTCAGTGCTTGGGTCTGTTCCCATGGAGACAGGGCTTTTCCTGCATAGACCAGGTGGTTTTTTCTCGGCCACTGCACCAGGCACAGAGGGTGGCAGCCCACACCCCCTTCCCAGGAGCAGATAAGCAGCAGATGGCCATGTGCTTCTCATGGACAGAGCCTGTGGGGTTTGCCAGCCAGTTGCAAAAATGAATCTAAATGAAAAAGAGGTTTTAGGATAAAGCTGAAAAGATTAAGCTCTCTATACCAAAGCAATATGACTTTTTGGACAGAGACAAAAGTATTGAGCTGAACATTAACATGATGGGCAGGCTAGAAAGACCAATACAGCCTCTCACTGTGCATCTTTAAATCCCAAGATGCCCAGAAGTAAGGGGGAAGAAAAAGAGATTGATTTTCCAGGGTGTATGTTTCTTATCCTTTACACACACAACAAACACAAAACACTTTTAAATGGAATACCCCTTCAGCCTTTTCAAATATAATTTCCATGAAGATATAATAATTAAGATGGATTGTTAAGAATAAAAATCATGGTGAAGAGGATAAGTGCTCTTTGAGGAGAGAATAAATCAAGGGCAGGAAAGGCATATGTATCCAGAATTTAGTACTGCTAAATTTAGGAAGCTGCTTCACACCCCAACAGCGATCATGGCTCACATAGCCTTGATCTTCCAGGTTCAAGCTATACTCCCACCTCAGCCTCCCGAGTAGTTGGGACTACAGGCATATACCACCTTGCCTGGTTAATTATTTTAATTTTTAATAGAGAAGAGGTCTTGCTATGTTGCCCAGGCTTGTCTTGAACTCCTGAGCTCAAGCAATCCTCCTGCCTGGGCCTCTCAAAGTGCTAGGATTACAGGCATGAGCCACTGTGCCTGGCCATGTTTTATTTTTGTAGCTATTGCAAATGAAATTGTTTTCTTGGTTTCTTTTTCAGCTACTTCGTTATTGGTGTATAGGAACACTACTGATTTTGGTATGTTGATTTTGTATCCTAGACAGGATACAAAATACAATTGATTAATACAATTTGTCAGTTCCTAGAAGTGGGGATGAAGAAAGGTTGGCTAATGAGTATAAACATAGAGTTAGAAGGAATAAGTTCTATTGTTTGATTTTATAGTTAACAGCAATATATTATATATTTCAAAATAACTAAAGGAGAAAAATTAAAATGTTCCCAACACAAAGAAATGACAAATATTTGAAGTGATGGATTATATAATACTAATTACTCTGATTTGATCATTACACATTGTATGCATGTATCAAAATACCACATTACCCCATAAATATGTAACAATATTATTTATCAATTAAAAACAGAGAGAAAGGAAGCTTTGCAGTTGAAGTCTTAAGAGAACCACTGATAAAGTCTTCTGAGCTCAGAGTGAGTTGACTTTGACATTACTCCCATTAGTAACATAGCTGCTTTTAGGGGAAAGGATTCTACCCCGAGCTCACCCCGTAAGAGCCTAAGTTCCCTGTGCTCAGGTAACCAGCAGCTCACACGGGACATGGCACCTGTACGCATCTGGTAACCATCTGTGGAATGTTGACCCGGCAAGAGATCACCTGTTTTCTCTTTTTGAAATCATTCAGCCTTGCAATCCTTCTTTTGTGGGACAGGAGTGAGGCAGGTGTGGAAAGAAGCAGATTACTTTAGCTATACTGAATATCTTTATGGGAGAAAATTCAGAAATCAAACCCCAGACCTGCTTCCCATTTGGCGTGGCAATACCCTCTCTGGCATCCCCATCCCCACACTGCAATTCTAATTACTACCACATGTTGAAACAAAATCTCACTTCTCTTAGCTTTCTAAAACAAATGCTGTCTCTAACAGCAGACAAATCTGTTGTTTCTACCAGACAACTCTCCAAACGTTAGAAGACAATGATCCTATATGCCTTTAGTTGTCTCTTGTTGGGGGTAAACAAGCTACTTCTGCTTCCTAGATCTCTAAATACACCTTCTCTGAGAATATTATAGTGAGCAATGTTTCTCTTAAAACACAGACATTAAAATGGAACAGGTAATATTATAGTTAAGATAGATGGACATAGAATTTTGATCTATAATCTTACTTTCTATCCCTTGGACACAGATGATGACAATGTTGGCTTTTTTTGTGGGGAGGGGCAGGGAATAGGGAGGTGGGGGTGAATTAATTACCTCATACAATTGACCCATTTTTAAATTGTGGCCCCAAAAAATCAGATTTCTTTTGAAATGTATTGCCAAAAAGTCAGATCTTTCTCATTTTGTATTTGTGATTCTAATTTTTTTATATTAAATGCCAGATTATGTTTTCATTTTCATTGAGTATCCTTTCATTGGTTTCAATCTGTTCAGTATGATGATTTTGACTTTTGTATTCAGAGTTTACCGCAGGAGATATCCATCCAAATGATGATGCACATCTACATTTATCGAC